GCTCTGTGTGGCTCTCGGGCCTCTCCCTGCCTCTAATCCCGGCTCTGTGTGGCTTTCAAGCCTCTCCTGCCTCTGATGCCGGGTCTGTGTGGCTCTCGGGCCTCTCCCTGCTTCTGATGCTGAGACACTGCTGCTTGCTCGTGGAGTTTCCGCTGGGGAGTGCCGTCTTTCTCATTGCAAGCATTCTCATTCTTGTTCCTTATTTTCCCAGGCAAAATTTAGAATGATTTGTCAGTTACCTAGAAAAATACGGAGGTTCATCTGAATTTTGATAGGAAATACTTTAAATATATAAATTATTTTAGGGAGAAGAAAACAGCAAATTTATAGGATGTTTGCTTCTAGTTCAGAAGTATACCATCTAGTTGTCTTTTTTCTTTCCCATTTTCATTCTAGCATCTGTTTTTCCAGTGATCTCTGATCTCAGTCCTGAGCATTCTCTAAAGAACTACTTTACATGCATCAGCTTCTGGGAGTGCATGGGGGAAATCACTGATAAAGCTGAAATCCCTTGATCTGAGATCATTAGGAAAAATACATCAAAAAGTGACTTCACTTTTTCTTTGCTTTCCAATCTGTATATTTTATATAAAGCTCTAGGAGTCTCTCCTTATTTCTGTATCCCAGCTAGTCAGCACAGCCCTAGGATAGGCACATCTCTGCCTCTCACTTCCCATGAAATATTAAATGATGCGAGCAGGTCTCTCTGAAAAGCACAGAGCAAGCAAGCATTTGCTTCTTGGCCCTTCGAGCCAGAGTGCCCTGCCCTGATAGAGTCTGAGTTCCCCTGGCGTCACTCCTGGCTGAGGAGGTGATGGTGGGAGCCATAGTCACCCTCAGCACTGCTTGGTGGCCCTGGCTGGGGGCAGTGGTTGGCTGCTCCTGACAGACACAAGCCACGGGTTGGCAGAGACTTCTGCGACCCAAGTAGGCAGCTGCAGTCCGAATTCACATCACCTGGCTTGAGGCTCAGGCTCTTTGTGTTTAACCAGTCTGTTCACTTAGCAGCACCGCCCAGGCAGGAATGAGGCCCGCAACACCCGTGGGGCAGGAGAACGTGGTCAGGTGCGCTTCTGCAGGCCTGTAGAAACGGTGTCCAGGCTGGCCAGCACGGAGTCCTACACTCCTGTGGCATCTTTCAGCTGTGGGAAAAGAGGGCACAGTGGTGTTCGCTGTGCTTCCTTTCCATTCTGGTAATGGCCACTGACACACTCGAGCCTGCGTGCTAATGGTCAGCGGGACCCCTCTGCTCATGGAACTGAGGGAGGGCCCGGCCCGCAGGTGGTGTCCGTGCAGCCAGTGTGGATGTGCACACCACGAGGGCCATGTGGAGGAGTCCTGGCCCCCGAGTTGGTACTCACACCCGCCAGAAAGGTGGGGCATAGGGGAGAAATTATAAAAAGGAGCCACCATTCAGGCAAACTTCACAGGGAGAACTGCTTTCTGCCAAGAAGGCTTTTCTTTCATTTGTTTTCATTTTGCTCCCTTTTGGAGGGAATGTCTCACCACAGTCTTCCAGTCCTCCAGATCTGATGTCCTTCTTGGAATGGCCTTTTACAGTAACCTTTCTGAAGAGAGAAAACTAAAATCTGAATAGTAGCATTCACTTTATTCATGTGGTGTGAGAAATTGAACCTAGGGCCTTGCACATGCTAGGTAAACCCTGTACCTCTGAGCTATGTCTGCAGCCCTTTTTATTTTTTTCTACTTATTTACTTTTCTTTTAGATTGAGAAAAGATTTTGCTAAGTTGCCCAGGTCATTCTGGAACTTGCCATCCTCCTGCCCCGGTCTCCAGTGAATAGGAGCCTAATAAAAAAATAAAAAAATTTAAAAAATTTAAAAAATAGGTGAAATGTGTTACCTTTATACAAAGCATCTAACACTTAAGTGTCTGCTGCCTTTCACTTTATCCTTTTTGCACCTTGAAGGCCATGGTATAAATAGTTTGTAACGCCTTCTAGCTCTTGCACTTAAAGCAGGTTCATTTTCCATGTAATTTCTTTAACCTATGTTTTCCAGAAGAAAACCTAGGCTCAGGGAGAAAAAAAAAAAAAAAAAAAAGTAAAGATTCTAAACTCCTTAATTTGCACTACTTACTGGTGGGGGAAGTTGAACAAGAGTCCAAACTAATGAGTTAGAATTGTGTAATGTTTAAATATCCATTTGCTTTTAAATACCCATACACACAGAGAGAGACCTAGGTTGCCAAAGTGCTATGTATAGTGCAGAAACGAAACTAGGACTAGAAAGTGGAAGGTGGGCAGGTGGGTGGGTATTGCTGAATTTGGGGTACCAGCTCAGTGAAAGCTAAAATGTAAAGTTCATAAGAATGTATATGCACACGTATTTTTCTTCTTCCTCCTCCTCTTCCTCCTCCTCCTCTTGGTAGCTATGAGGCATTTGTGTAGTCTGGCGAGGGGCTGTGGCATCCAGCCCTGTCCCCTGAGAGACAGAATCTTTGCCTCAAAGTTACTGAGAAATGAAGCCTGTAGAAAGCTCGAAAATGCCCAGGTTTTTAATGCAGACTGACAGCCAAACAGAACGCTCTTTCCATTTGCAGTTTTTTTCAGTGTCATTTTAAGTTGCAGCTTCCGGCCAATCAGCGAGCTCTGTGCCCGCTGACATCACGAACCAGCCAGTTCCCTCCAGCTGCAGAGAGCTTCAGTTTGTCTTTTTTTAAAACTAAAATGGAGGCTGGTTTCTTGCCTTAAGGGGTACACCGCCTTTCCCGCTGGAGCCTAGATGTTGACATGTAATAAGGCGGGCAGCGGGATGGTGGTGGATGCGGCCAACTCCAACGGGCCTTTCCAGCCCGTGGCCCTGCTCCATATCCGAGGTGAGTTATTGTGTGTTCCCCTGGCCGGAGCTTTACGTGGGTAGTTAATAAATGGCTATTGTGCTTCAGATAGGAAAAGCAGGAAGTCCCCTCCGCACAGGCCACTCCACTCAGCCGCAGACGTGACCAGAGCAGGTGGGGAGCGGCGCTGCCGGTCGGCATTTTACCGACTACTTACAGAATTTGAGGCTTGCGAGAGGCCCTTGCATGCATAGCTCAGAGCTGGTTTTACTGCTTTCTGCCTGCTTCCCATCCCCCTTTGGAGCTGTATGCTGATGTCAAAGGATGTGAAGTCACTGCCCGGGAAGGTGTGGGGTGGGGGTGGGAAGGAGAGGCGGGTGGCCGGGCCTGGCCAAGTTGTCGCGCGCAGAGTTTCTGTTACCTCAGGTTGCTTAGTGCTACAAAGGTTCTGCTGGGGCCATGTCTCCAAATTAAAGGCGAATAGCAGAAAATAGGCAGAGCTAATGAGAAAAGAACTTCCCTTTGACAAGGATTTTCCTTCTTGCTGAGGAGCCTAAAGGAGAAATGTGCTCACGCCTTGACATACTGAAATCTACTGGGGTCACGATTTTGTGTTAGTGTTTTCATGAAATGTTAGGGGCTATTTTGCATTTACATAGGCCCTGTGTGACAATTAGCTCTAAAATGGCAAGTTTTTAGTGTGTATTTAGATCATTATTTTAATATTTAGGTTGCCTCTTATACAGTCTGTATTTGCGATTTGCAATTTAGCTGTAAAGCACAGTATAAGTTAGATTAAATTGTAGCTATCAGGATAATACATAGTTGTTTTTAGTTGATATTTTAATGTATTTGTTATGTAAATTTCTCATTCATTATTGGATGAAAGAAAATGGGTGCTAAGCTTTATCAAATCACTTAAAAACGTGTCTTGTCACAACTGTGCCTCAACAAGACAGTTTCACTGCTGTGGACCGGTGCTCAGGTGGGTGGGGCAGGGTCTCTAGGTGACTGTGGCCCCTCTGCTGGACAAGGGAGTTCCCGGGGACGGGGGTGCAGAAATACCAGGCTGGTTGAAGAAAACAGGTGTTGTGTTTCTCACCAAATCCTTCGGACAAAGTGGGCAGAAATCCACATCCACACTGACCAGATTCTAGGGTGGCGTGGCTTTCCTATGGATGGTGTTGGGTGTGTAGCTGCAGGACCCCAGAAGGAGTTGCTTGGATTTCATTAGTTGTCAAACAGTAGGTCACAGCAAAATAATTTGATTTTATATAAAATTAAATTTATGTACATTTTAAGGTGCCTTCTAGCAAACCTTTTTGGTTTGTAAGTCTTACGACTTTTATTATACACTTAATGTACTAATTCTTTTAACTATGCATTCTGAAATAGAATCTTTTGATTTTTATGAGATATATAACTTCTTGATAATTCTGAAGTCTAATCATGCCCAGTTGGATTTTTTTCCCTGTTGACTGTCACTGTATAATTGTTGGGGGGGGCATATAGTAAAGTGTATTAACCTGACAAAGACTTGAGTTTTTAAGGTGCTAACCTTTCAGGACCTAAGCCTAACTTCTACTTCAAGCAATGTGGATAGTCTCTAATTTCGAAAGTCAAAAAAAGCTTGGTTTACTTATAAGGACTTCTTAGAGCAAGCATGTTAAAGTGAATTTTAGCAAAATGTGTTTTATGTACTGAGCACTTGGACTCTTAGGGAGTCTAATTTCCGTGTAGCAGCTTCTGTGTGCCGAGAGCTGAGGGCCATTAAAAGTAGCTGCCCCGAAGGAACAGTGGGCTCAGTGGGAGGTGCAGCCTGGAGGGGCACAGAGCAGCCCTGTCCAAGAGGGTAGGACTGCTGCTGTCATGCTGCTGGCGAGGAGAGGGCCCAAGAGCGCTCGGCACCTGGAGGAGGGGAAGTGACTTACGTGCAGTCCACACCCAGACTGGTTGTTTTGCCTGAAATTTTTTTTAAACTCATTTTAAATCAGAAATTGTGACTTTATAGAACATTTTGCAATAAAGTTACAATAGCGGTTTCCCCATGCCCCTATCATCTTTCGGGTTCAGTGGCCTTTTTGCTTGGTCGTGTGGTACCAGGGTTCATTTCTTAATGGCTTTACAAATACTGTATTTGTTGAGCAGCACTGTGTGCTAGGAGTGATCTTAACTTGGAATGAGAACTGAACAAGCCTGTGATCCCCACCCTACCCCCTTCAGAGTTTACAGTCCCTTGGGGTGGGGCTAGGGGCCAGTCAGATAAACAAGGAAATACAGTCAGCCGCTAAGCTGATCTGTGCTCCAGTTGATTTGATAGTTACTGTCTACCAAGTAGTCAGAGCTTGTAATCAGTATGGTGATCCTGAAAAGCTGAAGAGGAGAAGGGATCTATTTTAACTTAGTGCAGACCTTCCTGTCTATAGGAGAGACTGACTTGGAACCTTTACTTGGCTGTAAATTTAGCTGGGTGACTGAAATCCTGCATGTTCAGCTAGGTCCAGAAGCGCTGTCGGCAGTGGTAGGAATGTTCTGTGTGCTGTCTGCTGCCTTAACCAGGGGCCACATGTGACTGCTGGTGAGCACTTAGAGTATGCAGCTGGGAGACTGAATTTTTAACTTCAGTTATTTTAAATTTAAATGGACACACGTGTTCAGTGGTTACTGCATTGGGTAGTGCAGTTCTTGACCAGAATTGGCAAACTTTTGGAAAGGGGCTGGATTGTAAATATTTTTGGCTCTGTGAGCCAAAGCAGCCACAGACAGTAAATGAATAGACACATCTGTGGTCCAATAAAGTTTTATTTACAAAAACAGGTGGCGCTGGATTTGGCTCCTGAGCCATGAATTACTGACCCTGTTCTCGGCCAGTCCTGAATTTTTTAAAGCAGTTTCCTAGAGGCTCGTAGCACGGCCTCTCTGTCCTCCTGGCTGGTGGCCAGGCCTCCTCCCACTGTGGCGCCCCTGCCCGCCCACTTGGGAAGCTGCGTTGAAGGCAGGGACAGCTGCACCAGGAAGGTGTTAATAGGCAGGAGAGGACCTGCACAGCCCGGCCTCGTCCAGGTGACTGCTCTCATCCAGCCCTCAGCTCACCATCTGGTGAGTCTTTGAAGGCCTTGTCGGAAGCTGGAGTACAGGTCATTCACCTTGTGGAAGCCTGTATTTCTTGGGATATGGAGGACTAGTTATGAGAACCTTTGTTTCCTCACAAGTAGTACTTGCTGAGTCATCAGTTAGTTGGTCTTCACCTTTTCAATAAGAATTTGGAGAAAAACATGCAAGTAGCATGTGAAGAAGTCACCCTGGCCAGCCGCCCGTGGACTTCTCAGCAGTATTGGTACACACCTTGCACCAGGCCCAGAACTCAGGCACCTGCGGCCCTGAAGTCATTGAGAGTCAGTACCCAAATGATGGTCCGGAGCAAAAGACCCACGAAAGATTGAGTCCTTTTCACTCTAAATAGTGTCTCTGCTCAATTCAAGTTGCATGCTTCACAAATGTCTACCTGTTGTGACTACAGCTCTCAAAACTGACTTCAGAAGGACACTCACACATTGGCAGTAGTGATCCTGTGTGTGAAACTGTCCTTTGTGCTCCTGGCACTGCGCAGGGTAACCTGAGCAACAGCCTTCAGGGAGGAGTCTATACTAATTTTTCTTAATGAGTCCTTCTCTTAAACTCAGGCATGATGTCTGTTCGTGAGCTTTGCCTCACAGCCAAAGCTGCCTCCTAGAATTTGTTATGAGATGTGTTAATGATATAGAAAAATGAGGGAAAAATGAAGAAGTGAGCTTGTTAGTCCAGGAAAAGGTTGTGAGACACAGTGGTTTAGGATCCATGCTACTTGTGGGTCACAAATGTCAAAGTTGTTCTCTGTTAATCCCAGAGCCCTTTGCCAAGCTCAAGGAACTTTGTGAACACCAATTCTGTGACTTCTCCCAGCACTCCTGCCTGCGGGCCAAGCAGGACAAGTCCCAGAGTGTCTCCTCCCAAAGGTCATCCAGCCTGGAGACTCAGGCCAGGGCTGCCGCCTCGAGCTCTGCTGGGGTGTTGGGGAGAACAGGTGGCTGGAGCACTCCTAAGGTACCCAGTGCTGTAGGGCTTTATTACTTCCATGCTTTCTAGAAGAGAAAGGGGACCCCTTGCTCAGGGCCTTAGAGGATGACATGGGCCTCGGCCAGCAGCTCTGCCTCTGGTCTCGTGTAGAAAGGAGTTGGCGAGAACACAGCATCCTGGTGCCTCTCGGCCCTCAAGGCTTTTTGTCGCATGGGTGTGTGCGCGTGGGGGTCAGCACTCATCTGCCTTTGGAGCAGGAGCTTGCACGAGGTCTTGTGGACATCGATGCGGTGCGAGAGGACAGCACCCTCCCACTGTCACTCTTGACTGTCCACGTCTGCCAGGCCTCACTTTAGTTTTAGTTTGGCTTAGTTTTCTCATCTCCCACAGAGTCAGGCACATCCTGAGGAGTCACGGGAGCTTGAGATCTCTCACGGCATCCGGCTTCGTATCTAGAGCAAGCATCAGTCGGGGTTGGTGGACTGAAAAGGAAGTAACTTCAAATCATAGCTATCTGCATACTTCTTAGCTGCTGCTGGGTCAGTGGGATGGTGACACCTCAGCTCTGAGCCTCACTTGGGCACAGCTCTCCCTGCAGTGAGGTGTGGGAATGGTGTGTGCCCCAGCTGGACTACCTGCACGGGAGGAGGCTTCTCCCATTAATGTGTTTTCTTTTTTTATTATTATCATTTTTTAATGTATTTGGTACAGGGTCTCACTACGCAGCCTGGACTTGTAGTGATCTTCCTGTTTTTAGTCTGCCCAGCCCTGGGATTACAGGCATGCGCCACCATGCCGGGGCTGTGTTTTCTTGTAAAGGTGCCTTTCTTTTTAATATTGGAAAGACATTGGCTAAAGGATACCCTATTACAAAGAACAAAGGTCTGGTTCTAGTTTAGGTACTTGTATTATTTATAAATCAAAAACCCTTCTGGTTTGACACAAAGACTAAAAAGACATACCAATTAAATACAAGGAGTAAGTCTAGATCAGATCATTATTCCAAACATGAAATTGACCCTACAGACAACATTTAGGGGGGCAGTAAGAGAAAAGGGAGCTCAGAGTGACCCTGGATGGGGCAGAATTACTGTTGGTTTTGGGGGGGGGTTGTTTGTTTGTTTGCTTTTCCATAATTTTATTGAGAAACAAATAGCAATGAGACAGTTTCAAACCAAATTGGTAGAACAGTTTCAATAATTAACACATTGCATACTTTCTTCCTAGTGGTTAATTGCGGT